GTCCAACAGTATTGCTATGAATAGGAAATGACCTGATGGCACACAACAATTCCTCTAAGGAGACTCTGAATTTTCAGTCTAAATCCCTCTGAAAGTAAATTCAGCCCATGCCCTCATTTTGCACCCTCAGTGGAGGTCCAACTGCAGCTCACTCTCCTTTGGAGACCTAGCCCCAGTGCATACCTTCAGAAATCATCAGGCGATGCTGCACACATCCCGTCACAAGGCACACATGCCGTATGCACTGTTGATTTGGAAATCATTTAGGAGCTGCCTTGAGAGAGTGCATCTACTGTTTCCCAACAGCTGTGGCCTTGGTGAGTGACTGTCAGCTACCCAGATAAACTATTTGATTCTAAGATATGAAAGGAGAGCAAATAGATTGTACCCTCTTACGGACTGAACCGTGTCCTCCAGAAAGCTATGTGAAGTCCTAACCCCAGTACCTGTAAATGTGACCTTGTTTGGAAATAAGGATTCTCTTTTGTTACCAGCTAAGGCATAATGAGGGCATACCAGAGTAGGGTGGGTCCTAATCCTAATCCCTTCTGAGTGATGTCTTATAAAAGGCTGGAGAATAGACAGCGACACAGTATTTCTCTCTCTCTCACTCACACTCACCCACACCCACACACCCACACACCCACACACCCACACACACAGGGAGACCGATGCCATGTGATGACGGAGACAGATGCACCTATAAGCAGCCATCAGAAATTAGGAGAGAGGCATGGAACAGTTCTTCTCTCAAAGCCCCCAGAAGGAATCAACATGGCCAACACCCTGATTTGGGGCTTCTAGCCTCCAGAACTACGAGAAAATACATTTCTGTTCTTTAAAGCCACCCGCTTTGTGGTATTTTGTTCTGGCAGCCTAGGAAATTAGGACAGATCCCTTCTCCTGGAACACATTCAGCTTCCAAGGGGGGCTTTGAGAAATCTTATTTGAAGAAACAAGTGTTGTGGGGATGTCAGCGACCACTGATGGGCAGGAGGGACACACTGTTCTTGGGAAGTAGGTTCTTTTAGAGACCCTCTCCTTGCCCTCCACAATCTTACTAGAGTGAGCTCCTCAGGTTTCTGAGGAGCGTGTCCCCTCGCAGGCCATTCACCTCAGCTCCCTGGGATAAGAAGGAAAATGGAGACTGGCTGCTTGCCTCTTCCCTTCCCTTTACTCCATTCTAAACACAATGCCAAGAAGGCAAATGTAAGGAGGCTATAGACGGCGGTGCTCTGGATATTTAAATCACAGCATTAAAAGACATTTACTGTGATACCAGCAATATAGTCTTCCCTCCCTCCCCTCCACTTTCCACAATCCTTGTAATTACAAAAAACAAAAGGTACAGATGCACTTATAATTGTCTGCTGGAAAGAAGTCTGAAACAATTAGGAAGGCTGGAAAAGACATCCATCAGCAGCCCTAGAACAGACCAGTGAGTTTGTGGATATCTTGATGTTGCTGGCAGCTCTAACTCCAGCCAGGTGGAACAAGCAGGAGAAGAAGCCATTTTCCATATGGGTCTAAAGACTTGGAGAGAACCCATTCTCTTAGCTGCCAAGAAGAGGCCACCCGGATGAGGGGAAACCACAGCTGGGCTCCCCACATGCTCAGACAGAGGACTGGGCGTAGGAATAGGATTGAACTGGCAGAGCAGCTCTTTGTCTGGATCACAGGACAGGAAAAACACGTTATCATCGCTTAACTCCTGGACATCACGCTGTCCCCCGGCAGGCAGTATCTTCCGCTGCCTCCCACCCATCTGAGTCCTCCTCACCCCTCAAATCCCAGCTCAAGCCTCCCCTCCTCCCTGAAGCTGCAGGCTTCCCACATGTGTACTACAACTTTCCATCTGGTTACATGCTGTTCTTCAACTGTTTCAACTTGTCTCACTTCTCTCCTCCTCCTGGAAGACAGAGGCCACCTCTCTAATTCCCTCTCAGCATCCAGCACAGGCTGAATAAATGTCTTGATACAAGATGAGACATGGAATAAAAGACAGATGAATGGTAGGGCAAGATAACTTTCTCGTCCTACATAAAGCTCATGGGAGACCACAGAATGAGAACTCTCTCCTATCTTTCCTTCTTCTCCATCCCTGAAA